AAACAAACGCTTCTGCAAATTTGTTTTATTAAATAAAACCCAAACATTCAAACATCAGCTGAGGTCCAATAGAAAAGGCATATTTATATTAACAGACACATTAAATATGTACAGTCCTGTAGACACAGCTCAGGTCCAGAGGGCCTCTCATTCATTCTGCTCAGGAAGAATATACACAAATCCAAAGTATAAATAGAATATAAAATTTGCTCTTGTGTAATCTACACTATGTACAGTTAATGCTTAAACACCGACACCAAGCTAAAGGAACATCCTCCTGTTCATGAGTGAGTCTGCAAACAAATCTTTTAGGACTTTTGGGGAAAATAAAAAATAAATCTTGTTTATTCGGTTTAATTGTGTACATAGCTGGTGAACTTGGTTGGCAGATTGTCTTCGGGATAGACAGTAGGTCCTGTTTTCATGGTTGGAGGCCCGTTTAAAAGAGTCCAGTGACACTTTGTTACCACCTCCACCAGGAACACCTTCAGCAGAACTTTGGCAAATTCCTTCCCAATGCACATCCTGGAGCCACCACCAAATGGGATGTACTGAAACCTGGAGGAGTCCGCACACGGATCGGTCAGGAAGCGCTCTGGCTGGAAGTCTTCTTTGTCAGGGAAGATCTCTGCCACATCATGAGTGTCGCAGATGCTGTAGACGACGTTCCAGCCTTTGGGAATCTGGTAACCCTGAGGAGGCAAGTGGACATCATTAGTGAGGCGCTTCTGTCACGAGTCTTAAAGCTTCTGTGTTCAGATTACTTATGAAATTGTTGCCAGCTTACATTGAGCTCAAACGTCTTGAGGGCCACTCTGAAGCCTCCAGGGACAGGAGGGTTGATCCTCAGCGTCTCTTTGATGACACAGCCGGTGTATTTCAGCTGCTCCAAGGACTCGATGTTCAGGCTCTGTAGGTCCATGCCCTGCTCCGCCTGAACACAGAGAGCGAGATCTAACTGTTGTGTGAAGCTGCAAAGATCAGCTGCCCGTCTGTGTTTTTCCTCAGTTTTCTAAGCTTAGTCAAGGAACCCACACAGCCACAGGAAGAACTCCACAGAAGAAGTCTCCCAGTGGGGTTCAAACCAGCCTCGATGCTGTGAGGCAGCAGTGCTAACCACTGATGGCCTACTTGATCAAATGAGGTTCTAGCTTCAGTATGGA